GCTTCATCAGTCTGAGGAGACACCAAACAAAACTGATTCCCAACAGCTTACTCCAAAGTGTGAGAAAAAAAAAGTTAGGCCATCTTAGCACCAACATAACTGTTGTTTTTTTTTACTTTGGAGTAGGCTGTTGAGAATCAGTTTTGTTTGGCGTCTCCTCAGACTGATGAAGCCCTTCGAATGGAGGGTGAAACATCTCAGCACAAAAAAGAAACCATCCAGATGACCTGACTGCCCGTTGTTGGATCATTTAGAATTAATTTTTTTAGACAGTAATCCCAAGACAAACAGGACTGACTGAACTATGCGGTCTGAGGAAGAACAGGTTTTGTGAAAAAGACCATTTGTTCTCAGAGGGAAAAAGAGTCTGGGAGTGGAAAACACAATTCATGCAAAGCATCATGGGTCAAACGAACAAGGTGAATAAAAAAACAAAAGTACATTAATCAGATATTAACCAGAAACTAGTTCTTAATACTTTTATACTACAACAAATAATAAACATTGTTACCAGTGAATATTAACAGTAAAAAAGACTCAGAGTTAAAACCTGTGTGCTTTAGAAGCTGCAGACACGACTAACGTGAAGTCTGATGATGAAAATGTTTTCATATAAATAATTTTAAAAAGTAAAAGAATGAAAACAGTTGTTTTGGTCAGATTTAATAAACTAGTTTTCATATTTCATAGAAAAACCTCCTGAAAATGATTCCAGATGTTTAGAAGCTGCAGAATGAGACTGAAGTGAAGTTTGTTGGCAACAATCTGACGTTATATATAAATAAATAAAAAAGTCCATGCTTAATAATCCAGGTATACAATCCAACAATTTTGAGTCAGGTCATCTGGACAGTTTCTTTTTTTGCTGAAACGTTTCACCTTCCATCCAGAAGGCTTCATCAGTCAAGGAAGCACACAACACAAAACTGATTCTTCCCCCAAACAGCTTACTCCAAAGTGGAACAAACCAGTTGTGTTGGTGCTAAGATGGTGTCTTTGGCACGCCCCCTCCTCCGATGCCGGCCCTCTTTCTCGTCTGCAGTCATGTCCAGTCATGAAACCTGTGTTTCCTTGACTGATGAAGCCTTCCGGATGGAAGGTGAAACGTTTCAGCAAAAAAAGAAACTGTCCAGATGACCTGACTGAAAATTGTTGAATCTGACTTTGTTTTTTTAAAACTTGTCATTAAACTATAAAACTGGTGTTTTGGTCAAACGTCATCCTGTAAATAAACTAATAAACAAGAGCCAATTTAAAAACTGCCAACATGAACCTGGATGAGAAATTTAATTTGAAATCTGTTTTTATCAGAGCAGCT